AACTCTCCTACTTGCCGCTGCTGGACACGCCGGAACGTTGGAGGATGGTCGCTGATAGACGCTGCCGCGAATAGTCGCAATATAAACACACTCGCGGAGTAACCAAAGCCTGGCTTTAATATGAATGAGGAACATATAAAGGATATGTCATTGTTCTATGAGTGCCTATTTCGAACAGTCGCCGGTAGAAACTCCAAGGATGATAGTGGCTTGACGACTCCGCACTTTGCGCGAACCCCCCCCCCTGATTTCTTTACACAAGCCACATGAGAGTATGTTTCAGGTCTACTTAGCAGTTGCTCGATGGGTTAGATTCAACCTACCAGATCGAAAACAGTTCCTTGCGAAGGTACAGGCTATGTTCTTCTGTAAGCATGAGAAAACTATTCCGCATCCCAACCTGCTTGTTTGCAGGCTGATGGAACACAGTACGAACTTCGCTTGTCAGCCGAATTTGTTCAGCACAGTCAGTAAGGATGCGTTGGTGATGGCGGATGTCACATGCCGGAATCTTCTCGATGAAGCAAAGGTTCGACGCGTTTTTCATCATGTTCTCCGAAACTGCCGTTTCGTAGGTTTTTGATTTCCATTACAGAATCATCAACTTCTGCAACTATCGACGTATGAACGACCGGTAATGCAAGGAACGCTCACTAGACCACGGAAATCACTCAGTTTTGGCGAGGTACATATAGTACGCTTGTGTGATAGAGTCGCTTTCTTGTTTCGTTACCTGAAGAGTTTTCGGCAAGGGGGTATGGTATACCATTTCGATTCAAAACTCGGGACTTCTCCAACCAAATTCTCACGACTACTAGAGCGCTTCGAGTCGAAGATCTATGGAACTGTGGTAGACGGCTCGCATTATTTGGTTCGGCGAGTGGGGTTGCTTACCGAAGAAGTTAAAGCCTCGCTTCAGTGTATGGGAGGAGAAGGCTTTTTCATTGACGGCAAAGATTCACACAGTTGTTTTATGCAAGCATGTCGGGAGAAGAGCACCTGTGTGTGCACGCCATTGCTAACAAAGTGCGAGAGACACGTTTTTGATAGGACCACACGTACCTTGCGTAAGGGCTGACACCTCTCGTAAAACTGGTCTCCAGCCCAAGGTGAGCGGCAAAAGGAAGTTAAGCAGCTCTGGCTTGACGCACTGCATAGAGACTCAAAAGTAGCGGACATCTACACGGATCAAGCATCCATCAGGTGAATGCAGGGCACATCATTGGCTTGGGGAATCCCCAACAGGGGGGTCCAACCACCTTGCAATCACCTTGCGGCGCTCGTCCTGCCCCGAATCCCTTCCAACCGATTCCTCGGCCGTTTTCCAGCGTTGATATGCGGCTTGTTTCTGGTTGTCCTATTTGTTTTGTTTTGTTTTTTTTTGTTTTTTTTGTTTTCTCATAAAGAGATTCTCTCCCACTGGTGGCCAAGCGATTAATCCGTATCAAGACGTTGTTCGCCATTTCGGAATTTCTGTATTTCCCGATTCCGGTCTTCTTTCGTACAATATCGCTACATATATCGTTGTATGTCCAGCAGTTTTTGTCTCAAGTTGTCAGCATGACGCGAACCTTAGGCTATGTAGGGTGGGGGTGGGAGGATGTAGCACATCATCAGCATACATTGAATATTTCACATCTACGTATCCATTGCTTCACAAAAGTTGACAGGTATTCCTCCAAACTTTGAGTGGTATCACTTCATGCCTTTACAACTTAGAGCCGCCATATAGGTATGCAGAGCTGCTAAAAAACAACACTGAAAAATCTCCCTTTTTTCACTGTTTGTTTTTTTAGGGGGGGGGCGAATGGCAAAAAGAATTGGTGAAGGTCAGCGCTCTCTTTAATTTTTCTGCCTGGGCATCACTTCGTTCACTTTGTCTAAGTTGGTGGCTTACCTCATTCACTAATGTGGACATTTTTAGATGACATGGAGCATGTATGGGTATTGTTACCTGAATGACCGCTAACCAGTCAGGCAGCAGTTGGGATCAGATCTCAAAACTGCGGTATATTTCTTTTGTCCACAGTTCCATAATGAGCTCGGATTTCGTTCAGAGTTCCATATTGAACGTTTGCTGAACTGTAATCTTTTGTGAGTAATTACTGATTTTTCCTCCTTTGCACATTTTCAGAGGATAACTGTGCAGCTGGTGGCATTACATGTTTTTATTGTCATTGAAATCCATTATGAATGTCATGAAACATTTTGTATTACGAAGTGTTGAGCCTCTAATGAGTAAATATGTCTAACCTCATCACTTCGCCTTCTGTAGCATTGAAGGTGGCGCAAAATGTTTGGCGTTTGCCCCCACCTCTAAAGATTATGCCACGAACACATCTACTCGTCTTGAAGAGTGGTAGGTAGTATAAAATTTGGTATTTGCTTCGAACAGGTCACATTTCCCATTTACAAATCTTATGTATGCGTTTCACGATATTATCAAAGTTTTTCAGTCACGGGTTTGGCTATGTGACAAGACAATCGTAATCCGTCGCATCGGTGGGCGTCGCATGCGACGTCGCGTCCGCTAATGACGCGATGTTTCTAGGTCGTAGACGACGGCAATGGAGAATAAATAACCAAAAATAGCCCAAACTGTCGTAGTACACATAAAATGTAACGCCCCAATCGACCGTCTAATACAAGCTAAGAGGACGTCGCGCCGGTCGCAGCTCGCGACCGAGCGGTCATTTACGATTGTCTTGACCATCTCCCACTTGTTTGTTGGCGAAAACAACCACCGATAGTGACACCAGCTCGGTCTACTTTTGCCCGTACTTTCTTTTAAGGGGGGGGGAGTTTGTCCAGTACCTGGTGCCGAGTGGAACGTTCGATTCCGTTGAAATGGACCAGTATGAGGCCAATTACGACCACTTGACTCTTCGTTGCAGCGCGACGAAGTGACCATCTCCAAGGCTCATCTTTGCAAGGGCGCAGACGACCTTATGCAGGGCGCAGGTGAACGGTAAAGTTCCGCCAGTTCCGAGTCGCGGTAGAGACGCAGAGCATTTTCCAGGCAGTTCCAGTTGACAGGCGCAACCCACTGATTGTACCTAAGTTGTTATAATTACTTCGTTGCATTCTACCGCACCACTATATCCTCTTATCCCCAATTCGCTCAGTTTCAGATAGATGTGAAATGCGTGACGATTCTTTCAGAAATTGACCAACGCCGTCCACTTTTCCTTGATTCCAATCTGGTGATGCAACGGTACATCATTTATACCTACAGAGTCATAGAGCTTATCCAACAAATTTGAGGGCAACGGGTCAACAAGAAGGAAAACGACGCGCTGCAGTTGAGGAGGTTCGTTGCAGCGCGTACGAAGTGACCATCTCCAAGGCTCATCTTTGCAAGGGCGCAGACGACCTTGTTGCAGGGCGCAGGTGAACGGTAAAGTTCCGCCAGTTCCGAGTCGCGGTAGAGACGCAGAGCATTTTCCAGGCAGTTCCAGTTGACAGGCACACACTCAAAAAGTCGTGGCGACGTAGCGCTGCCACGTTGAGTTTATTGGGTCCTGCTGCGAAGGCTGCGCCCATCACCCCACTTGCACGCCTCTTCCGCCGCGACTCGGAAGTAGCGCAGTAACGCCACACCTAGATCCAAGCCACGCCGTCATTGTGGAAGTCACAACGCGAAGAGTCGTGTTAGACCGTCGAGGTATGTTCGTAAGCGCAGGGCCTATTCAACAGTGGGAAGAGCAGCAATACTAAGATGTCCTGTAATTACTCAAGATTTATTCATGACCCTTGACAGAAGAGTTATTCATGACCCTTGGTATGGAGAGCACTTGAATACCTACCTACTAATAGCTACCTGAAGCCCAAGGCACCTTGCAAGTTCGGAAATGAGGAATAGTTGGTGACAAAGGTACAATAACCGCCCACTAAAGCGTCATCGTTAATAAACAAATGAAACACAGTATGCGTCTGGACCTTCCTGAACTGTAGCACACCAGAGGAGCACATCTGCTTTCACAGAGAAGTTTCACCCCTTCCCAACACATCTGCGTGCAGTTGGATGCATTGCGCAGTGCAGAGGGAATATCGATCGGCGCCGCAGGAACTGCTTCCCAACAATCTGAACAAGTAATGTGCTACAGAGGCTTACTCGAGTCTTAAAACAAGCTGGGAGTAAAACCGCGCCGGAGATGTGGATTTTTCTCGTTGTCTGAAAGTGACAAAACAAAATAACGAGGGGCAATTTTTGAGTAGCGAGCGTGAAGAGATGAATTTTTCGTTGGGAGTTGGAAGTCTGTTAGATTCGGGCACTGCCTTTGGGTTCTCAAGAGATCATACGACGTGAAGAAAGTTATGGCTGTTAAAAGCGAGAAATTTCGCAGGTGACACCAAACAGCACAACGAGGGAAATTACGTTGGAATGAAAGGGTTTGAAATTGCCTAAGCTCACCTAACCTAAACTGCAAGCATAGAGCTTTGGAGCCCTGCTTTCCTCTTTTCGGAACTGACGAGGAGTTCCCCTGGAGTAACATCTGCCCTCGCGCTGATAGTAGAGCTCATGCATGATTTAGGCACGAGTGGTTTGCGGGGCATTTCGCACTTTCGCCACTTCCCCTCGTCCTGTCGAGCCATCAAGCAGGAATTCGTGAAATACAGTCAAGCCGAAGTGATACCAGTCAGTGTTTGTGCTTGTAGAGGGTAAGGTAATAAACCCGGCGATGTAGGATAGCGAAAATGCTAAGTGCATCCTCCCAATCCTAAATGTGCCCGTTTCTGCCCTAAATTTCCGCGTTTTGACCTTGGCGTCTACGAAAGTCTGTTATACAGTAGATCCGTGGCTGTGATTCTCTACCATTTCACGCGCCCTTTCACCAAGCCTGAATGCAATGGCACAGAACGGACATTACATACGCTGGTGTTGGGATGAAACACATGAGAGGAAAAACATAGTTGATTCACATAAAAGCCTGCTTAAAGGCAGTTGGCACGATAAATCGCTATACAGGTGTAGGATTTGTACAACTGGCTTAACAGAATTCCGTGACCTCGGACAGGCGCTGCGTGAAGCCTTTTCCAAGGAGGGTACCCCTATTGAGCAACAACTTTACGTCCCAAACGCCTTCCTTGCCCGCCCGCCCACAAACGGACGACCGTTTCTGACGCTCGTATTCATTCATTTGCTGAGGTCAGATTCTGAAGCAAAAAGGATTGTAAGAAGCGCGGTGAGATGCTGCATGGTCACACATGGGTACACATATGCAGCCGTATCTTCGGTAGCGGTGATTGGCAAGATGCGTACGGAAAACTCGTCCGAAATCGATTTACAAGTCACTGAAAACGGAGGCTTTTTCTTCGCCGGATTTCCCTTTTCGCTCCGTTCTTTCGCGCATTTCCCCACTAACAACGCCCTGCTAGCCATTAAAGGCTAAGTAGGAACGAATCGTGCCAACTGCCTTTAAGTGGGCACACCTGCACCGTCCGTAATCGCGTTCCCTCCCTCTTCGCCCTTTTTGCGTGCCATAGCCAGAATATAGGTGTGGTGGCCTATTAGCTTGTTCGCGAATAGCGGATGCGGGGCGTGTCAGGGATGGGTTGGGCGTGGCGCCATTGTCAGAGAAACAAGCGAAAAAGAAGGCTAGAAAGAAGTAGAATAAGGGCTGACAATGCGCCGCAAAGCCTCAGAGCTAAACCATCGTCTCCCCTCCGCTGACAACCCCCCATTTTCTGCTGCGAGCAGGGGCACGGATTCGTGTTATTGTGCGGTCACATTCACTGTTTTTTATCTACACATTCTTCAAAAATTCTTATGCTGATTACTCGTTTTTTTTCTGAACTGCACACTTACGAATCCTCTTCACGGTATGCAGGTTGTGACGCATGGCTTCCCAGCAGTATGCTGGGCTCAAAAATATACTTAAGTTTTTGGCGTCATATTACGCACAATCACTGGAGCCCGCGATCAATCAACGCACAGAATCCTTCCTTAGGCAGCGTTCAGACTTCGCGATCGCGCTTGCTAGACGGCGTGGCGGCCAAGTGGCGCGATCTGCGAACTGCAGAGGATGTCCCATTTTTTCGGCTCGACACTGCTTGGTAACAACACTTGAGCTCCCCCCACGCTTTGTTGTCCCCTGTTCGTTTATGACCTTCGCCCTTATCATATCGTTTCACTCCCGCTAAATATGTACCTCTGGGTCCCCCAACACGTGTGAATCTTTCGCTGAAGGATTGTGCGTTGCTCTTTTCACGGTTACGTAGCCATTGGAACTTTTGGTGAGGTTCTGGCGCGAAAGGCCAGCGCAGAGAAGTAGAGGACCGTCACCGCAAACGCATCAGAAGGTGAAATAAAAACATGTCCCGAGGCAGGAGATCGATTTTTCAGGAGGGAAGAGACTTCGGGGTGGATGAGTCATTCAAAAAATTGGAATC